GGAGTGTGGGAAGTTAGTTAAGAAATTAGGTGAGGAAAGCGGGGTGTGTGGGAAGTGTGAGGAGAAATTTGTTTAATTTTTGTGACGAAATAATTTTTGACGAAATGAACATTCGACGAAATGAACATTCGACGAAACAAACATTCGACGAAACAAACATTCGACGAAATGGGTGTCGACGAAATGACTGTCGACGAAATGATTGTCGACGAAATGAATCAGACCCGTGGTTTAATACCATGCTAATTAATCAATAATAAGTAGTCAATAAATTATATATTAATTATTTCTAACAATAAAAAAATTGTTTACTTTTTTAACCCTGTGTCGAGGTTCATATTTTTTAGCAAATTCAGCATTTTCGTATATTAATGCAAACCCATTAGAACGATTTCCATCATATGTAGTTCTCATAGCAAATACAAAGACAACATCTTTGTTGACTTCAAACATTTTACAAATTTAGGTTCGAATTTCACTATTTGTTAAACTGGGTTCGTTGGGGTGTAAACATCAATTACTAATTGTTTACGACGCATTGCGAGATTTTCTTTAAATCTTCTAATTCTAAAAGTGATCGAGTTATCTCTAATATTTTTAACCTTGTCAACCTCTTTAACCTTTTCAACTTCTATGTCCTTGTTAACCTTTTTACCCTTGTCAACCTTTCCATATATTATATTTTAAATTTAGATAATGTATTAGACATTTAAAAACAAACAAATTAATTGTTGAAACCCTTTATATCAACAAACCTTTTTTTTCATTTTGTTTTAAATTTGAAGAATAAAAAAAAAGGAGGTACGTGATGCGCGTACAAAACACCATTTGTATGGATGACACGAAAATTAAAATAGTCAAATAGAATCAGGTAACAGATTACATGTGTGTGAGAGCTCATATGACCGACTTATCGAATTAAATTAAATATTAAGAAAATGGGGTGAAAATTTTGGCCGACTTATCGCGAGACCGACTTATCGTGTATTCAACTACAAGAGCCATTCCTAAAACCAAATCCTAAGATTTCCTATGCAAGATAATATAGTAACTATATATATTAATTAATATAAAAAAAATTTTAATAACAAAAATATCTGTAATTTCGAAACAAAGAGAAATCCTCGTTACATTACTTAATAGAACTAGTTGTGAAAAAGAAATTATGATTTATTTTTCTCAAGGCTATATTCTTTGAAACTATTAAAATAAAAGAAAACGCAAAATCATTATGTAAATATTATAATAAAAGATTTGGGAAAAGACAACAGATAGTTAACTGAATTCGATAAAATAAATTCTCAAGAACTCCAGGAGGCAATTTCCACTATTAACATCACGCTTTTTTATATACATGATTATTGATAAATATAATGATGATACTCAAGAAAAAAAAAAGATAAGCTTCTCCTGAGATCTTAGCCGTCAGGATACCATAAAATGTGGTTTTTAGGTCTAATTCAAGAAATATTTAGTAACAAAAACAATATTAGACTGTGTTTATGGGTACGAAAGGTTCGTTGATTTCTGAGGGATTAGTTTTGTATACAAAGCTTAGTCTTGGAAGTCTTAATCGAGTAGAAAGCGAAAGGTTTGTTGATCTCAGAAGAACTTGACCGAAGAAATAAGAATATAATCATTTAAATACTTTTAAATCTGATTATTGGCTTTATTAATTTAAACATACCATTTTTTAAAAAAGGATCCAGCATTCTAACATATTTTTTTTATTTCATTTTATTAAGAAACAAAACATCGTGGGTCAATATTGATGGTCACAAATTAGTATGTGGCTTTATTAAAAAATTTACTACCAAAGATAAAAGTATGAAAATGTTTTGCGGGTTAATTTGTTGTATAATAACAGATTGGGTTCTAGCGATGTCAAATCATATTAAATTTGGAAAAAGCAAACCAGATTATTATTTTTAGTCATGATACTCCATTTATATCTTTTAACTCAAGACATAGAATGTTAATCCTAATTGTGTGATTATTGAATCACCTGATTTATGTAGAGCTTTCAGTGGTAATGTCGTATTCTTCTATTTCAAATGTCATTAAATAGAGAGCGAGTTAAGTAGGTTGTAGATTAATTTTGTGATATCTTATTATAGTATAGAGACAGATCCGAAGATAGTCTTGATAGTAGTCCCGATGATGATAATAATGACAATGATAAGGTATTAATACAGTTGACAAAGAATTTGACATAGATCGCTTTCACGAAAAGATTTCATATGTAACTACAATTTCTGTCCAAATTTTCAATTTTTAATATTATTTTTTTAATATACAATTTTAGATCCTGATATACAACAGAAAGCATTAGATATTCGCTTGAAGTATTAAATTGTGACAAGATTGATGAAGGAGAAGTCACAATGGTTGTCAATATAGTAATAGAAAATTACTGTGCGGATGTTTTATGTTACACGTTAATATATATCAAAGATTTAAAATGTAAAGTCTCAATAACAAACAAGCCGTGAATAATCTTTCCGCGATTGTATTTCCAAACACTCAATTAATAGCCCGTCAGAGAGTTTGCTTTATTTATATTAGTAAAAAAATATTTATAAAGGTTCAAAGTAATTTTATTTATTTTACTGTAAAGGCTCAATCGATAATCAAACAAGCTATGTGAATAGTCTTCCCGCGTAATTTTGGTTTATTGATTTTTCTTCTTGGTAAATTCCACAGGTAACCCTTTCTTTCCTTAGATAAGCTTCAAGTATCTGAACATCATTTATTTTGAAAACATAAGGAGCAATCTTCTTTTCCCCTTGTTCTTTATTTAAAATATTTATAATTCCTGGTGGATCTGATGTAAATTAGTTTCATATTAATTATTTTTATATAAGAGTAGTTTTATATATTCTATATACTATTTAAAGAATAAATAAAAGATAACAGATGAGAAAAATCATGTATTTTTCCGCAAAAATCATCCGCAATTTTGCGCAGCATCATGAAAATATCCAATTTTATTGGTGGGTTGGGTGCGTGTTATCCATATTTAGAAATTTATTTGGCAATTGTGGTTGATTTTTGCGGAAAAATACATGATTATTATTATCAGATGAGGCATTAATTGTTAAATCATAATCATGCTATATTGGAAATCTTGAACCCTGAAATTTTTGGTAATACAAAATGTTCACTTTGTTGCAGCATGCCTCAAATGCAACAATTGCTATATATTGTGAAGTTTGGAAAGATAGCACCCCTAATTTAAAACAGTTGAAACACAATTGTAAAAAGGAGACGCTATCTTACCAGACTTTGCAGTAAGCTATGGTGCAAATCATCTAGAGTCATCAAAAAAAATCAGCAACTTCAAATCACTAAGGCTTTTTTTTATTAATAAAATTGAAAAAACTCTTTATTTTTGCAAACTTTAGAAACTATGCAATAATTAAATAGTGAACTTTTTCAATTTTATTAATAAAATAAAAAAAGCCTTAGTGGTTGAAGTTGTATCAAAAAGAGATTTTGCACATGATGATCTTTCTTATTTTAGAAAACTTCTGCACGTGACCAAAACAAAATTGGAAAATTTTTTTCTTTGTATTTGTATATTGATATAGGGTTGTTAACGGTCCGGTCCAAAGACCGTCAGTCTAATCAAATGATCGGTCTGAGACCGCGGCCCAGACTTTAAGGTTTTTTATCCAGATGAAACGAATAACTCGAATAAAACGAATAATGAATAAATGAATAAATGAATAAAATGAATAAAACGAATGAATGAATAAATCAAATAATAAATGAATAAAAATGAATAAACGAATAAAATGAATTAATCAAGTAATTCGAATAAACAAATAGAAGGAGCGAATCAAATAATTCGAATAAAACAGATAAAACGAATATTTCGAATATTTCGAATATTTCGTATCAGAAGGAATGGGAATTAATAGAGGCAATGAATGAATTTTGATTTATATAAAACTGTATATGTTCTTTTTTTTTTGAATATATTAATAATTCGGTATTGAGTAATGATAATAAAATAATATTTTAACAAATAAAATTGAAATAAATGCTTTATGATAAAAAAATTCAACAGTTAAATGGTCTTTGATACCTAAGACCAGACCGACTCAGACCATGGTTCAGACTGTTAACATCCCTATTTATATATGTGATTTTTTTATTATCTAACAACTCTTTAATCACTAAATAAATAATTTTTTGTTCAACAAATTAATAATAATAATAATAATAATAATATGATCGGCTAATTTAGAGTTTCGAATTATTCGTTTCTTAGTTTTATTCGTTTTATTCGAATTATTATTTATTTATTTTATTCAGATTATTCTTTTATTATTCGTTTTATTCAAATAAACTTTCAATGTAATAGTAACGACAAAATGCTTGAGTCATGTGATTTTATAATATCGTGACACTCAAAGAACATCATCGCTATTACTATTTTTGGATTGCCACGCGGCGCAGCATCTGATGCTTTAGCTAAATTGTATTACAATGTTGACGATGACGTAATTTTTATCTTTGAAAATAATAATAAAGAAAATAATGATCACGCAAATGTCAAAAAAAGAACAGTACTCTCATTTACAAACACAACTTGAAGCGCAAAGTTCTTTGTGTCATACTATTGCAGCTCATTATTTAAAATCTGGAAATAAAAAACAAGCTGCTCTTTATCTTCGATATAAAAATTCTTTTAAAGCTGATTTAAACTCGTTGGTTTCATATAGTAACCACGATAAAGATGTCCCTGCTTTCCATTATCAAGAAGTTAGTTATGAGATAGAAAACATTTTCCCGGAATTGGCTGCAAATGATATGGAAATTTGCATTGAAAGAGCTTGGAATTTAGGAAATAAGGAAGTAAATGGTAATGATGTTGTTGCTTATGTCAATTGGAATGTCGCATGGCCACCAGAAGGTAGTCCTGGAGCAGGAAGTGGGAAGGGTGATACCTCTACTTCTGATCGTGGAATGAACCCAGGTATGATAATTGCACTATAATAATAATCTATCATTAAATTTCTTTTAAAAACATTAATACATATACATATATATAATACTCAAGAATTTAACTTTAAAAAAAGAATCGATATCGTTCGTTCAAGACCATTTCAAAGATATTTGGAACGAAAAAAAGCAACATTTGAAGTATTTCATTACAAAGGCTTCTTACGAAAATCAATTTCGCTTGGAAAAGCAACTATTAAATTGGATACATTACTTAAAAAATCTGAAATACATGATGTACTTGAGGTTGAATTCTAATATATAAGTTAATGTTTTAACATTTAATTGACGATGCAAACTTTTTGAAATAATAGTATTAAGTTTTTTTATTAAAATACTTCAGCTTGTGGATCACGTTCGTAAACCTACAGGTGGAAAGCTTGAAATACGTATACGTCTCAGAACACCGTATTCTCAATCTGACATTATAACAAAAACTGAAAAATGGCTCATAATTGATGAGTTTAACAAAGATTTCACAAGTTTAATATCTTCATCTATATCTACTACATCTTCATCACCAGCAAAATCTTCTTCCTCATCAGCAGCAACAACAACAGTAGCAACAGTTAATGCAACACCTGTCAACCCAACTTTTGGTGTTTCATCACAATCACAGTTGGAAACAAAAGATTTAACGACAGCGACGACAGAAACAACAACAAGCAGTTCTACAGAAAGTCAACAACAAAAAATTTTTATTGAATCAGATTCAGTTACATCCCCCCCAAAAAAACCAACGACGTCATCATCATCACCGCCTCCTGCATCTGTGGCGAGTTCTTCAAAAACAAAAGAACAAAATATCTCCCAATCTCTCATCACAAGTAATACTGAAGCTATTGGTAATACTGAAAATATTAAAATTGAAGCAACTGCTAAAACTTCCGCAGTCACTGATGCTGATTTACAACAAAAAGCAACAACCATCGAAAAACAAGCACCTTCAACAACACCACAAAAATCAAATCGTGTTACTCAAGTATCAGATACAGGAAAGGATGAATTAGAACAAGCAGAAGAACAACTTAACAGGCAATTTTTTTATTTCTTTCTAATAATTAAAACAAAAAAAATTTTTTATGATACTAAAGGAACACATTCGTTCTCTTTCTTTTACTATTTTAGTGTTGAAAATATTGCATCTAATCTAGTTCTTCAAAATGAGATTGAACTTATCACCAATCAGATAACTACATTGGAAGCACAAAGGAAACCAATACCAGAGGATTTGTTAGATAGGCAAAATGAATTAGAAATCAAAATGAATTTATTGTTAATATCTGTACAAACAAATGAATTAACCATGGCTGAATATATTGAAAGAGTAAAAGCAAGTATTGTTAATTGCAAGAAATTAGCATTGTTTTTTAAAAAAGCAGGTAAATTGGATGAAGCAAAGAAAGCATTGAGGAGAAGTAAAATTATGGAGGATGAAGTTAAAGAAGTGGAAGAAGCTATTAAAAGTGGTGTCTTGGAGATGTAATAAATTATTTATTTACATTTCATGTTTCCCAAAAAAAGAAACAAACAATTTCACTAAAAATGAATTGATCGGATTTATTTTTATTATCATTATTTATACATAAATTTTTTTTTAAAATTAAACATCTATTTAAATAATGTGATTGATTTCTAAAGGTGTATTATATATATAATTGATTGAAAAGATAAGATGTCTTTTTTTTTGAAAAATAAATATTTTAATGCGTTTGTTATGACGTGTATATGATGTTGGATGCATGTAATGATTTTATAATAATAATATATGTTAGTGTTATAAAAACACAAAACGATAAATATATTTATAATAAAATGATTATAATAATTAGGTATGTTTGTAAAAATATGTAGTAAAAAAAAGGTGAGATTTCTTGCGCGTAAAGTGTATGCTAAAAAATTAATTACAACAACAAAAGGTTCATCACTTTCACCTCTATCTTCGTTATTTAGTTGTTACATTTTCGTTATCAAGTTTCAATATGCTTCTTATTACATTACTTAGAATTGCAAAATTTACAGGTTTGCTGACATAATCTGTAAATCCTACTTTTAAGCATCTTGAAACAACATCGGACATTACATTTGCTGACAATGCTATTATTGGGATTGGTGTGTCGTCATCTAAATCTTTTAAATTTTCAGCTTCCCATTTTCTAATCTCGATCGTTGTTTCATAACCATCTATTTATTATTTATTAATAAATAATAGAGTTAAAATTATGCAATTATTTTAATCACATGATCTATTTATACGTACCTTTTTTGGGCATAAACAGATCACACTTTTTAAAATAAACAATATATTAAAATTGAATTAATAAAAACCCACATAACAACAATATAGTTGAGATATAAAACAAAATTAAAATTTCTTACCAAAATAAAAGAAAAATAATTATGAGGATGCGAAAAAAATATTTCTAAACATTGATCACCATCAACAGCTACAGTTACTTCTAATCCTACCTTTGTAAGATATTTTGTTATAACTATTAAAAAATAAATAAATTATAAATAAATAAGAAAATAAATGTGATAATTAAAAAATCTTAATGTTTGAATGTTTGGATGAAGAAAACAACCTTTTTGATTTACAAAATTGTCTTCTACCAATAAAACTTTATATCCTCGATCGCCAACGTCTTCAGCCATTCTTTGAAAAACTTCTTTTTGATTAGCAACAACCTTATGTGTGTTTCTTCTCTTCAAGAAATTATCTCTGAAAGTGGTCGTATCATCAAACAACCCCTCCATTTTACTCCTGTTCAATGGCTTGAAAATAAAATCAACATGTTCTGGAAATTCACCTTGTGCCCCTTCAACTATACCAGCACGTTGTATCTGTGTAGTTAAGATCACAGTCGCTGTTAGTGATAAGTGATTTGAATGTTTGATGGTTGATGCAAGTGAGATCACGTGTGATTGTGAAACTAAATTTATCAAAATGTGCGAATAAAATTTTAAATTGCTGATTTTTTCAGAAGCTTCGGCGTAATCATTAGCAATGTCAATCTCGGGTACAGGTGTTTTTGGAAGAATCGAACAAACATAATGAACCATGGCTTTACGAGAATTTGATAAGTCGGCAACAATAAGCACACATTTAGTACGAGGTAAATCAATTGTTGTTGGCTTAACAAGCTTTAATGCATTCGATGATGTTAATGGAGCAACGGTGGTAAAATCATTATTATTAGTAGTAGTACAATTAGTATTATCGGCCATATTTATAGGCAATGCAATATTATTTTTAGGAATTTGTGTTAATGGCGATGATGAATTAGATGGTATTATATTCTTTCCTATTCCACGATTATTACAACCATTAACGATATTATTAAATGATGGTAAAGAATTTCCTGATGAGGGTGGCGTAATTATGCTGTCCGAACTATGTTTAGATGAGACTTGGACTGAAACCTTACTACAGCGGAAAAATGGTGAATTTGATACTTCGGATGTTGGGGTTTGTGGACGTGGCATGGTCGAGTCAGGTGGTATTGTAAATTTTGCAGTAAAGTAAAAGGCTGAGCCAACACCCTTTTGACTCTTACAGTATAATTTGCCGCCATGTAACTCAATAAGTTGCATCGATATCACTAAACCTAATCCACTACCATCATGTTTTCGAGTTGACGAAGTATCAACTTGCGAAAATGGTTTAAACATAACTGCTTCTGCCATAGCATCAAAACCCTCGCCAGTATCAATAACTTCGAACATTAACATCACTTCATTTTTACCACCATCGGTTTTTGAAAACGACTCTACTGAACATCTAGAAAAAACTTCGCCTTTTGATGTAAATTTGATCGCGTTCTATTGATTCATTTAAAATAAATTTTTTTTTTAATTTTCGATAAAAAAACAAAAACAATCATCAACTCAATAATATAATATGTAATATTGAATACATACGCCAATAATATTCAATAATACTTGACGTAATCTTATTCTATCACCGCAAACAACCTCAGGAACATTCTCTTCAACAATAAAGCTCAACTCCAATCCCTTCTGAATTGCCAACGTAGAAAGCAACTCATTGGTATCATCGATCATATCACGAACTAAAAAAGGTTCCATCTCCAATTTCATCATCCCTGCTTCCACCTTACTCAAATCCAATATATCATTTATCACTAATAATAAAGCGTCTGCTGATTGTTGTATGGTATGTGCATAATCCATTTGTTCTGTTGTTAAATTGGTTGCCAGCATAAAATTTATCATGCCAGTAATACCTATAAGTGGTGTTCGAATTTCTTGATTTTTTTTGTAAATTAAAAATTTTTTTGATGATTAATTAAATATAAATTAGTTATTTACAATTATTTTATTATATCTATATAAAATATTTACCATGAGACATATTAGACAAGAATTGAGTTTTGCTTTCAGTTGATTTTTTAGCTGCATCATGAGCTTCTTGAAGTTTCTGTTCAACCAATTTGTGATCATTGATGTCAGTACAAGTGCCAAACCATATTCTACCTTGTTCGGATACTTCTACACTAATACACTTAACCAAAAACCATCTGTATTCACCTTCTGCGTTCATCAAGCGAACTTCAGTGGTGTATGAAAGACCAATCTCATCTAGTGCATCCTTCACCTCTGGCAAACAACAATGCACTCTATCCTCTGGAAAAACATGTGACAGAAATCCTAGATTCTTTGCCTGTTCCTCTGTCTGACCAGAATAAGCAATCCATTTCTTATTGACATAATTGATACCTTCTTTAGGTGTTGCAGTGAAAACTATTTGTGGTATAGCATCAGCCAACAAACGATACTTTTTCTCATTAGCCTCGATGTGTATCTGACGACTTTGTAGTTTCTCGGCTAATTTTTGATCGTGTACATCGGTACAAGTTCCAAACCAACGAATGTTGACACCTCTAGCATCTCTTAACGGACCAGCACGACCCAAGAACCAGCGATACTGTCCATCGAATCTACGTATACGATACTCGGAACTAGAGCCTTCACCTCTTGAAAATGTTCTATTCCACATTTCCCATACCGACGATCTATCGTCTTGATGTACCACCTCTATCCAACCATGACCTAACAAACTATCGATACGCTTACCAGTATATTTCAACAGTCGCATATTAACCCATGTACAATCACCTGTTCCAGGTGTAAGAGTATAAACAACATTTGGCGTCAGATCAACAATCATACGAAGCATCTTTGTGTTAGGTATTATTAAATGTGGGATCTTATTATTTTTATTAGATGACGATGGTGACGACGAATATTTTATATTACTGCTATTACAACGTTTGTTATTATTCTTGTTGTTATTGTCATTATTGTGATTGACGTCGTCACAGCATGTTATAGATGAGTCCTTACCATCACAATCTTTATTAATATTTTTATTTTTTGTGGCAAAATTTGCGTCCGAGAAATTTCTTGAGGAACTACGTCTCCTACGTTTTTTATTGCATTTATAATCATTAGAATAATAAGTTGGTAATGAAGCCCCACGAGAAATTTTAAATTTGTTAGAGGGACTGTTTTTGATGTTTTCATTAATAATATCATTCCTTGAACCATCATTTTCAGTTGATGGTGATTTGCCCAAATTTATTGGCGAAGCTGAATAGTCATAATTCGAAACATTTGTATTATTAATTACGCTTTGATTATAATTGTCATTATCAACACCTGATTGATTATCATGGTTCATTAAAGTATCAATTTTATCGTTATAAACATTTTCATCGTCCCTAACATTATTGCCATTATTAATATTTCCGTCCAAGTCAATATGATCATAATCAGTCATTGAAAAAATGGTAGCATATTCCCATTTAGATGAAGAAGAATCACTATCTGATGCAGATAAAGACGAGAAACTACAAGAGTCTTCTTCAACATCAACACCGTCTTTTTCTTTTGAGTCGATATTAGTTGAATTGGTTAAACTGGGTAAATTGAAATGTTGGCTATTGTTACAACGACTATGATGACGATTATGGCTTTTATGGTTATGGTTATGATTACGATGTTGATAATCACGCAATGAAGAAGCATAGGATGATAATTGTTTAGTGGATTGTTGATAAATCATTGAAGTCGATAGAGTAGTTGCTAAAAAAGGAGCCAGAGATCTAAGAGATTTCAAAAGAATTGAAGGGAATGGAACAATAGGAGATAGGAACGAGAGTATTGCGATTGGAACTGGGGAATGGATTGTATTTGAAGAGGGATGACTTTTTGCGGTTGTTGGATGAATAAGAGGGATGTGCACAATGGAATAGATGTTGTTGTTTTTTAAAAAAGTAGATTGACAAATTGTAGCAGAGTATGAGGAAGATGGCGATGAAGACGATGAAGAAGGATCAAATGCATCTTCGTCAATTTCTGGTATCGTTTGAAAAAAAGGATTGGTATTTAGTTCTGATGTGATAATAGGTGAAGGTGCAGGCGATTGAGACCAAGGAGAAGGTTCTTGCTGTTCAAATTCTT